ACAGACACACACATACCCCTCTTTACACACACAGTCACACACATACCCCTCTCTACACACACAGACACACACATACCCCTCTTTACACACACAGTCACACACATACCCCTCTCTACACACACAGACACACACATACCCCTCTTTACACACACAGTCACACACATACCCCTCTCTACACACACAGACACACACATACACCCCCCAAATAAATAACAACAACAACAACAACAACATACACACACTGTTTGCTATGCTACCTGTTACTAGCTACAACTCTAACCGTACCATCGTTGCCGCGAAACACAGTACGCTTGGCAATGACGTTGACGACCAAAGTCAGAGCTGAGCCGACCATGTATCGGCCTGGTTCGGCAATCACACGCACACGACTGTCGGCAGGAAAATGTTCCTCCAGTGCAGAGCTCACCGCGTCACAGATCTACGACGAAGGAAAATTAATACACAGATGCTGCAACGAAAACAGAACGCACATGTATACATGAAAATATTAATACATAGATGTAAAACTGAAATACAACGAAATGATATGAGAAAAAAAACACAAATGCAACTAAAAAATATATTTTAAATAATATATAAACTAGCCAATATATTAAAAAAAAGCATTACACAGATCTAACAAAAACATAAATACAACGTAATTATGTTAAAAACAACACGTTTATAGAGAAAATATGATTGCAGCGCAAATATATAAAACTTCTACAACACTCTTCATTAAACACAAGACCTCCATATAGAATAATTGCAGAGTGCAGTTGTGATTGCTCCTCCACCCGCCTCTCCCTCCCGCTCGCCATCTATAAAGTACAGTAAAAGTCCAAAAATCCGGATGCCGGATATCCGGTCCACTCGAGAACCCGGGCTTTTCGAAAGCTTTCTTTTCAAGCAGTACACGCTCTTTCTGTAGTGAACAATTTTTATGCAAACATTTTTGTCAAGTGTTGACTTTATCTTTCTTTAAAACTGCTCGTTTTGATAAATGATGCATGCTGCATTTGCTAATGAATAAACTATCAAAATCTACCTGTTCATCTCTTCTTTATTCCTCATTAAATTTGAATTTTAGAAGTACTGCCCGAGAATCCGGAAAATCCGATAGTCCGGACCGACCCAATCCCTGAGCAGTCCGGATGTTCGGACTTTTACTGTAATTAGGTTCTTAGAGATATCTCAGTAGCACCCTATCACCGTCACCGCCGCCGCTGCGCAGAGAAAATGGCGTCTTTCCTTACGTCGTCGAACGGTATGCGCGTTGTCGTCTCGCCGGGGAAACCTCCGCCGATGTCCAGCAGCGAGAAAGAGAAGCCGATCTCAGCGCCCTCTTCGAAGACACGTTTGGCGTTGCTAATAGCGACGCTCCATGCGTCGACCTCGGGGCAACCGCTGCCGACGTGGAAGCTGTGGGAATAGACAAGCGAGGGGGAGATAGTAGCTTAGCCATGATGGTAGTTACTACCAAGCACCGAGGGTCGGATGTGAGGGTATATAACACTAACCCTAACCCTAACACAAACCCTAGCCTTATCATTAACCCTAACCCTATCCCTAACCCTAACCCTAACTATAACACTCAAGGGCGTAGCCAGGAATTTGAATAGGGGGGAGAGGTCATCGAGCGAGTAACAAGGGGGTCTGGTAGTCTGAAATTTTTTTTAGTTAAATGTAAAAATAGTGCTTTAAAATCAATTTAGACGCTGTTTTGTTGACAATACTATTTCTTCTGCAGCTCTACAACGACACCGATGCCGTGGCCGATCCAAGATTCCAAGGAGGGGGTTAAAACAGGCCACTCAGAAACTCACAGCTGCTCGGTATGTATGGCCAGGGATTAACAAGGATGTCCGAGCATGGGCACGTACATGTTTGCAGTGCCAACGCGCTAAGATTCATCGGCACATCAAAGCCCCACTAGGCACCTTCGCTGCCCCTGATGCCCGTTTTGCATACATCCACATTGATTTGGTCGGACCTTTGCCATCATCACAAGGCTACTCTCACCTACTCACGGTAGGTTTATATGTCGAACACGACTTCGTCTCTGATACCAGGTGAGAGTGAGCAAGATAATGCACCGGAATCCACTATTGCAGCTGTAATTGGCGACACGTTCGTAGCAGCTGAGATAGATACAGGAGCTAGGGTTTCCCTGGTCAGCTCGTTCCTGGTTAAGACTTTGAGAAAGAAGCCTTCGCAGGCTCAGAACCTTTTGAGGGGTATTTTTGGTAATGCTAGGTGGTCTAGTGGGCTCATCAAACTCGAGTTCCGTCTCTCTGAGCGCGAGTTTTCGCATCGTTTTTTCGTTGTAGAGGAGTTACCGTTTGACGTGCTGCTGGGCATTGATTTTTGTAATTTGTCGGGTCTTATAGTGTGTACTTTGTCTGCAAATCGTACTATGTCAGGCCTTTGGTAGACTCTTCGCCGGTTGTTCACTTTCCGTTGCGTGCGAATTCACTACGCGTGGCAAATAAGGTAGTTAAGCATACCCCGCCGCATCTGGAACCGTATGATTCGCTTGACGAGGCAATCTCCCGCGAGCAGGCACGACCGCGACAGCATCTGTAACTGTTCAAATCACTGTAATTGTACTCAAATCATCAGTAAACTGCAAATCATGGCATAACCACTGGCTTTTTCTTGTTTATGGCTTTGAAATAACATTGTAAATCCCAATAAAATAGTCACGTAAAAACCAACATTACATTTGGTGCGTGTGAGAGCGCTCATTCCTGGTTGCGTGGTCACTCCCCCGGTGCTCTCCGCTATACAATCATTCTGCTATAGCATTGTGCCAATCAACTTCACTTCATCGTCTACCGCTCCTGACTGACGATCTTATTTCAGCACCGTACAGTTGGCTGAGTAAGTAAAACTAACCTTTGCCAGTTTAGATCTAAGAGATATTATAATTAAGTTACTTACTACCGTATTACTGCTTCTAATTTATTACGCACATCGTGTGTGAATGTTGCGGTCTCCGCGCTATGTGCTTACTATCCGTGCTTACTGTCGCACACCTTCGCACACACTGAGACGGCTTAGCAGTTTGATAATTGCTGTCACTTCGCTTGGGTAATTCACCGCTACTCTCACCGCATCTGTCGTTTAACACCGTTTTTTTTCATGGACTCGCCGCAGACACCACAGTGTGACATCGCGGATATCGCACACCTATTTAGCGAATTGTTGCGCCCAACCGTTCAATCTGCTGCTGCCTCGTTTCAACATGAACCTCGTGTTGCGAAAGCTCGGACTTCTGTTCCGCGTTTCACTGGCGATAACGCGCCGTTATCGATTACGTTCGACGACTGGCTCAGTACTTTGAATTGGAGACAGTTGGAATTGGGTCGTGATGCTACTTCGTTGCGCGTATTTGGGTTATACGTATCATTCCGTAATGTATATCGCCCTCACATCCCTGTTGCTCACCGTTATAGTCATCGCCACATATTGCTACTGTTGTCGCTGCCGCCGCCCTCACAGCCCTGAGCACCAGCCCCAACCCAGTCCTGCCGATCATTCCCTCCTCCTCTCAGACGTACACGAATAGAGAGTTACCCACCCACCCCTACCACGACAAGACCTCGTTCGCTATTTTCCAGAATGCCACTAACAATTCTCGAGCCTCAACCACGAATGGGTTCCTTCGACCCTATGACACCCACCTTCCAGTCCCATGACCATGGTTTCCCAGGCCCGACCCTTGTTCCCAATACCCCACCACCCACCTCTGTAATGGTACGATCACCTCCTAATGCAAATATTACACAAATACTTTGCGACACGACCCCCAACTCCCCAACCCCTAAGATTTCCCCCACTAACCTCCATACTGCACCGGCATATCTCTCTCCGGCCTGCCCGGTGCGCCGTCCCCTATGCCAACACCAGCTCCTTGTCCAATCGCTCCACCTCGAGTCGTGTAGCTTCCTCTCGCATGTTAAGCTTGGGTTATTCGGTTAGTGGCATCGCCATTCTATTATGCACCCTAGTACTCTATGACTGCCCCATTATTTATTCAATACCGGCGTATGGATAGTTTAACGGCCTCGACGACGTGCAGTATGTGCACCGCTAGCACTAGTCTTGCAAATTGGTAGAGATAATCATATTACCTTGTTCATAAAGCACACTATAAGTAAAACACGCTTCATCTAAACGCATTTATTCATAGTGTATGCCGTTAAGGACGGCTTATCAGTAACGCTATTTATTCCATGGCTTATACGCGATCGCGCTCTCTAAATTGTCTCGCGCCGCTATGCCATGTTGGTCCGGTAATGGCACAGTGCCACGTATTATGATTACCACTTAAACATTGTCAGGACCCCTCCAACAACAAACAAGACGGGCGAGAACCCCATGAACGGCAGCCACCAGCGCCGTCGTCTCCGCTGCTGGCAGGCGCTGGCGCGCCTGCGCCTGCGCCCTCTGCGCCAGTGCCGCCTGCACTTGCACCGCCTGCGCTGAGGCCGCCCGCGCCTGCGCCACCTGCGCTGAGGCCGCCTGCGCCTACGCCTGCGCTGGGGCCGCCTGCGCAGCTTACGCCAGTGCCGCCTACGCCGGCGCCGCCTGTGCCTGCGCCGCGGGGAGGGGAAAACGCGTGCTCACCGCCCCGCTCCACGCCCAGTTTATGAGCACGGCAATGCCGCGCCAGCTGTACGCGGAGCCAGACTCCACCCACGGTTCTGTGGGTGGACATTCGCCCGCGAACTCGTGGGATAACGATCGCCCATGCCCGTTCCCGGAGGAGCAGTATGCCGGCTCCTTTGTCGAGTCGGGCACCGCCGACGACCACCTACAATACGAGTTCCAGGTCGGCGAAGGGGACAACCCCGAGCACACCACCTCTAACCCGGAGTACGTCGGCTCCTTTGTCGGGTCGGGCACCGCCGACGACCACCTACAATACGAGTTCCAGATCGGCGAAGGGGATGACCCAAACACCACCTTCAACCCGGGACATATACGCCAAATGGCGCAAACGCTGGCCGTAGTGGCTGTAATGACCGCTATGTCCCAGTCACCGACCTCCCCCAACGGACATGAGGAGGAAGGCGACCGCTGACGCATGAGCGTCACGTACATTACTAATAATGTGTATTAATGGCAGCGTTATGTAGAATTTCTTAGATGGCATCGTATTGTGTGTAGATTTTAGTGCCTTATGCTTTTAGAAAATTTATGCCTTCGCGAGCACTTGTACCTTGTAGACATTAGTTGTAGCGGTAATGCCGATTAGGTCCCTTCAGGACATATTTATCATACTAGTAGCTCTGTACGGTGTGGTCGAGAACCACACCAGTAGACTGTAATGTATTATTGTATTATTGTTCTCAGCTATTACAATTATTAGCATGCCATGACGTCGACCGCCCTCCCTATGGACGGCCAGCCGGGAGACTAGCAATAGATGTCCACAAAGGTGCACATCGGTTTGATGGTGGGAGAAGTGTAACGCTGCTCGATTGCTCAAAGGGATTTCCCGGCGGAAGACCCCAACTAGCCGGTGCGGACGTGCGGTGACTGCCGACAAGTGTTTTAGCACTGATCACGGCGCAACGGGTGACGCGAAGCGACACTAATGTGCAGTGCACCGTGTAATTTAGTCTAAGAGTCTTAGGTGCCGCAAATCAGGCGTGAAACCAATTAGCACCAATTCCAGGGGGTCACGTTAAGTGTTCGCAGCGCGCCCGCGCCGGTAGGGGTCGCCACCGCCCAGGGCATGGTGGTGCGGAATAACACATCTTTGCCGCTAGGAGTCACCACTGCCCAGGGGCACGGAGGTGAACGACGCATGCGCGGGTGCGTGCGACGCTGGCATTGGTGTGCACGGCGCATGTGTGACGCATGCGGCGCGGGCGTGCCTGCGGCTATAAAAGCCGGGACCCGGGCAAAATAGAGGAGAATCCCCCACGAGCAGGCACAACCGCGACAGCATCTGTAACTGTTCAAATCACTGTAATTGTACTCAAATCATCAGTAAACTGCAAATCATGGTATAACCACTGGCTTTCTCTTGTTTATGGCTTTGAAATAACATTGTAAATCACAATAACATAGTAACGTAAAAACCAACGTTACAGTATATGCAAGACTGTGAGAGTGTGTCTGTCGTGTGTGTATACGTATTAGCCAGCGAGCCGTGCAGCCGTGATTTACACGGTCCGTTTTGAAACTGCACGGCCAAAGAAATGGAAAAAGTTTAAAATTTACAATTGTAAACAAGTTAAAAATTTAAAAAAATTAAAAATATTTCTGCATATAATACCCTGACCCTAACCCGAACCCTAATCCTAACCCTAACCGTAACCGTAACCGTAACCCTAACCCTAATGCGAACCCTAACCTTAACCCAAACCCTAATGCGAACCCTAACCCTATAACCCTAACCCTAATGCGAACCCTAGCTCAACGTCACGTGTCACGTCAAGAATTCACGTGGGTTTTATCATATCTTGCTTGTCTATACCGCGCGGGCTATGGCCACTGTATGCACCCCCCCTGACGCTAGACTGGTACCCGGTCGCACCTCTCGGCTTAGTTACTCAATGAGTAATCGAGGTGGGAGCGAGTACCAGTCTACCCCTTACGCGCACCCAGCGACACCGATATGCGCAGCAAGCTGCAGCTGGAAGAGGTGGCGGGGGGCGAATTCACATACATCCCCACATGGCCGCGAGAGGGCCCTAGCCCAAAACCTAACGCTAACCCTAATGTAGAGATTTCGGGGGGTGTAACTCACATGAGCAGTAGACTAGATCAGGATGGATAGTTTGAACTCGCAGTATGGATAGAATAACCATGTATTGACTAAAGACAGAATAAAATATAGACAGCACATAACGATCAACACCTGGGCTCAGTCTTCTTGGATTATAAATACGGATTGTACATACGGAGGGGAGTCTAGAGAAAACAAGGAATGTAAACGGAAACGCGCTATATAGAGTATAATAATCAACACGTTCATGTACTATTAATCAGCATAATATACGAGGAGATTTGAATAGAATGAATAGTCTATAGGTTGTCGAAGAGAGGAATATTTACTTAGAAACGAGTTGCGTCAGCAGGGGAGACAATCGTACCAGCCACGGAATCTGCGTGGGGAGTAGTGTTTTGACGACGCATACTTAACAACGGCACGTAGGGGGGCGTTGCCAGCTAGGTATATAAGGCGCGCCGAACCGCAGCACAGAAGTGTTATTTTTCAGGTTAGGTAGGAATTAAGAAGAAGCGGAAGAAGGTAAAGAAGAAAGCATTTTAGGTCCCGGGAGATAGAAGAGGGAATAGGAGAACGGGGTTTCAGGTAGGTATATAGAGCCAGGAACGACTACGAGGGAGACACCCTAGGTCTACGCGAAGAAAGGACGACGGGGAGAGGAGAAGACGAAGCAGGCGACGCGTTTATTCTTTAATATTAGAGTAGTGGTTAGTTAAACAACGTAACAGCGCTTCACGCTGCACTGATAATCGCGATAACAGCGAACCAGATAACTTATAACGCAAGCTAAGTAGCGTAAGCTACATATACGAGATAAATACAGATCCGCGACACCTATGAATGCAGGGGAATTATTCGTAAGCTAGTAAGAAACAATAAAGCTATAACCGTACAGTTAACCGAATGTAACTGTGTTCTGTTTCACTGGTACAACATGTTATGCGCTACTGCATCACCGTCCTGCCTAACGGCAGGAGCGAACAATGAATCCACACAACTAAACACGCGTTAACTATATAACGCCTGTCATACCGTAGTCGGCTACCCCTATGGCCACTACACTAACCCTAACACAAACCCTAGCTCTAGCCCTAACCCTCATCCTAACCCTAACCATATCACTACCCCCAAACCTAACGCTAACCCCATCGTCGCGTCTATGGCGCCACCTACCTGACCCCGATGACGTCAAGGTTCAGCTGGCGGGCGACGGTAAGAAGGTGTCGTGTGTCGTGCAGGGACGCGCCGTACTGACAGTTCACCTTGTACAGAGCGCCGCGGTCATCACACGCTATACGGAGAATCAACCTAGCAGTAATAGATAGGTAGCAACAGATAGGCAGTAATAGATAGGTAATAAGAGGTAAGTGGTAAGTGATAGGTAGCGAGGTAGAAGTAAGAGACAAGTAGCAATAGAGAGATAGTCATAGGTAGGTATTAAGAGAAAGGTAGTAAGGTAGTGGTAGGAGTCAGCTAGTAAGAGATAGGTAGTAAGGTAGTGGTAGGAGTCAGGTAGTAAGAGATAGGTAGTAAGGTAGTGGTAGGAGTCAGGTAGTAAGAGATAGGTAGTAAGGTAGTGGTAGGAGTCAGGTAGTAAGAGATAGGTAGTATAAGGTAGTGGTAGGAGTCGGGTAGTAAGAGATAGGTAGTAAGGTAGTGGTAGAAGTCAGGAGGAGAGAGGCAAATGAAGGGAGAAGAGAAGCGAGGTGAGAGGGGAGGGGGCCGATCTCACAGGACACGGTGTGACCAGTGTAAATTACGGAGTCGTTAAAACTCGGACACGATATGATTTCTAAAGACAATGAAACGCAGAGCGTTGGGAAAAAAGCCGTCACTTCACACACACTCACGCCTGGGGCTCTTAATTTTTTGATTACGATATTTTTCTTACATTTTTCTACATTTTTACCTCCCCCCACTTCTTTCCGGAAGACACAACACTGTGAGTAAACTTGCGTTTATAGAGGGGCAGCGATCGCTCTCACCGTAAAAGGCTCGACTAGGGCATTTTCTGCCGCCATTCTCTGTACTTCCTGCGACAGTTCTCCAGCATCCATGAGCGACAGAAATGCATCATCCTAGTAAACGACAGACAGAAACTCAACGCGGCGTGCCCCGAGTGAGTTGAAGGCTCCGGAAATGGCGCGGGGGGCGTGACGTTGAGACGCGACAAGCATTTATAGAGGCTAGAAGTAGTGATTTATTGTACATCACTCGTGCTTTATTGTACATCACTCGTGCTTTATTGTACATCACTCGTGCTTTATTGCTACATCACTTCGTGTTTATTGTATATACTCGGGCTGTATTGTACATCACTCGTGCTGTATTGTACATTCACTCGTGCTTTATTGTACATCACTCGTGCTTTATTGTACATTAAACTTCGTGGCTTTATTTGTACATCACTCGCTGCTTTATTGTACATCACTCGTGCTTTATTGGACATCACTCGTTGCTTGTTATGTAACGTCACTTCGTGCTTTTATTGTACGTGCACTCGTGCTTTATTGATACATCCTCGTGCGATATTGTACCACTCACTTCGTGCTTTAGCCTCCCCCCTCACACCTCCACCTCGCTCCCCTTATTCCGTACATCACTCGTGCTCTTATCTCGCTCCACACCCCCTCACCTCCCCGCTCTCTCTCACTCCCCCTGTAATCACTCGTGCTTTAGTGTGACATCACTCGTGCTTTATTGTACGTCACTCGTGCTTTATTGTATATCAACTTCGTGCTTTATTGTCATCACTCGTGCTTATTGTACATCACTCGTGCTTTATTTGTACATCACTCGCATCTTTATTTACATCACTTCGCTGCTTTATTGTACATCACTCGTTCCTTTATTGTCCATCATCGTGCTTTATTGTACATCACTCGTGCTTTATTGTACGTCACTCGTGCTTTATTGTACATCACTCGTGCTTTATTGTACATCACTCGTGCTTTATTGTACATCACTCGTGCTTTATTGTACATCACTCGTGCTTTATTGTACATCACTCGTGCTTTATTGTTACATCACTCGTGCTTTATTGTACATCACTCTTTCCATGCTTTATTGACATCACTCGTGCTTATTGCACATCACTCGTGTTTTAGGTTGTACATCACTCGTGCTTTATTGTTACATCACTCGTGCTTTATGTATTATCACTCGTGCTTTATTTAGCATCACTCGTGCTTGATTGTACATTTCACTCGTGCTTTATTGGACATCACTCGTGCTTATATTGTAACATACTCGTGCTTTATTGTACGTCACTCGTGGCTTTAGTGCGTACATCACTCGTGCTTTATTGTACATAACTCGTGCTTTATTGACATCACTCGTTTTTGCTTGGGTTTTTATTGGTACATCACTCGTGCTTTATGTGTACATCACTCGTGCTTATTGTACATCACTCGTGTTTTATTGTACATCACTCGTGCTTTATTGTACAGCATCGTGCTTTATTGTACATCACTCGTGCTTTTATTTGTATATCACTCGTGCTTTATTGTCCATCACTCGTGCTTTATTGTATATCACTCGTGCTTGTATTGTACACCACTCGTGCTTTGAGAGAGAGAGAGATGATGTAGAGAGAGATGGATGAGGAGAGATGAGAGAAGAGAGAGAAAGCCGGAAGAGTGAGAGAAAGAGAGAGGAGAGCGAGCGAGAGAGAAGGAGAGAGAGAAAGAGATAGAGAGAAAATAGGTAGAGAGCGAGGAAGTTGAGAGAAGAGAGAAGAGAGAGTAGAGAGAGAAAAAGCTTCGTCATCGCGTATACACTTTTCTTTGTGTTCCATGGTACGGATATAATAACCTCTTATACACAGCCATCCGTGCGATATGCCAGAGGCCACGATGCCAGATGTCCTACAGGTAGTCTTACCTTTTAGACTTTTGCTCGTTGGCGGCTAAACAGAATTTTCTGTCGCTCAAGTTATGAGAGAGCAAAATTGAGTAAGGATTTCGTCATCGTAACTTTACGATGCGGATCTGTCTACGATCTAATAGAAAAGGTTTATGATAAGAATAATTTTAGGACAATTTCTTTCTGTAAATCGCGGCCTGCGGCTGTTGTTGTTTTACCTTACCGTTTGCTGTTTTGTGATGACGCCGCCGTATGACGATCACGGGTTTGCCTTCGACATCTCCAGCCCCTCATGCTGCCTGCTACTAGCGACGTCAGATGTCCTGTGTTACAGCGGACTACAGTATTGTCAACCAATCGATGTCACGAAATAAATGGTCATAAATTGTCGTGAATCAATGTTAGTATCAATAACCGCATCGAGCGGGGAGGGAAGGG